ATCTATGGAGTTCAAACAAGAGCTCTGAAGTCCTGGCAGTTAGGTTAAACCCCAGCCCTCGATTTTACTGTTTGGAAAGTGATTTTCTCTTTCTGTGCGAAATTAGCACCTACCTCATAGAGGTGGAAAGATGGAGTCAAAGCAAACTGCTTACATCAACTCCTGGCATGTGGACTGTGCTCAATGAAAGTGAGTTATTATTACTAAAATAAAATCTTCAGCACACACAAGTGAGAAACTCACCTACTAAAAAGAAAAAAAGTCTCTCAGCTAAGACCATGAAACAAAATCAAATTACATTCCGCAGGTAAGAGAGCCATCTACAGCAAGATGCTCCAGAGAGGTCAAAGGTCAGCACTGTGCATATTAGGGGATGAAAAACAACCTAAATGCCGTTGTGAAGGAAACAATTAAGTAACTTATGCCATGTCCATAATGTAGAACACTGTGCAGCAATTAGGAAGAATGAGCTCTATCTGCACTGTTACAAAACAATCCATGATAAACTGCTACAGAAAAGACAAAGGCGTCTCCATGTAGTCTACATTCTTAAGTGTTCTTCAGTGTCCGTGATTTTTTAATGAAAACTTCAGAAAACAGAGTTTGGGGAGGGAAACAGGGAATTCCACAGGCTCGGATGCTCTGCAAAAGCAGACAAGGGCCAGAGTTCTGCTTCACAACAATGTGAACAGTTAACACTATCAAAAGACAAGTTTAAAAATGATAGGGGAGAGGTGCCTGGGTGGCTCAGTCAGTTAAGCATCTGCCTTCCGCTCAAGTTGTGATCTCACGGGATCCCTGGGTGGCTCAGCAGTTTAGCGCCTGCCTTCAGCCCAGGGTGTGATCCTAGAGTCCCAGGATCAAATCCCACGTCAGGCTCCCTGCATGGAGCCTGCTTCTCCCTCTGCCTGTGTCTCTGCCCCTCTTTCTCTGTGTCTCTCATGAATAAATAAATAAAATCTAAAAAAAAAAAAAAAGTTGTGACCTCAGGGTTCTGGGATGGAAGACCCCCCCCCAATCGGGCTCCCTGCTCAGCCGGGGGTCTCCTTCCCCTCTGCCCCCCCCCTCGTTCATGCTCTCTCTCGCTCTCTCTCTCAAATAAATAAAATTAAGTGAAAAAAAAATCAGGAGAGTAAATTTCACATTAAAAACATTTTTGTCACATATTTATTTTCTTAAATAAAAAGAAAACAAGGGACGCCTGGGTGGCTCAGTGACTGAGCATCTGCCTTTGGCTCAGGGCATGATCCCAGAGTCCCAGGATCGAGTCCCACATCGAGCTCCCAGCATGGAGCCTGCTTCTCCCTCTGCCTATGTCTCTGCCTCTCTCTCTCTCCCTGTCTCTCATGAATAAATAAATACAAATCTTGGAAGGAAGGAAGGAAGGAAGGAAGGAAGGAAGGAAGGAAGGAAGGAAGGAAGGAAGGAAGGAAGGAAGGGAGGAAGGAAGAAAGGAAACAAGGTGCACAAGTTGTATATTTTGTTATCATTCGTATAAAACAAGAGTTTGTGTGTAATCCATATGCCTGCATACAACTACCTCTGGAAAGATAAACAACTGATTAAGAATGGAAAAAGGTGGTTTCCTCTTGGAAGAGGGTCTGGGAACCAGAACAGAGGTGAGACAGGGACATAATTTACACTGGAAATCCTTCTGCATCTTTTGAATTCTATGCTCTATGCATGTATTACCTCATCAAACAAATCTAGCAACCCACCAACTGCCTGCTCTGGTGTAGACTCCTGCACAGCAACTGGTACAAAGCTCAAACACACTGCCACAAAGAAGTTTTAATCACTGTAATTAGAATCAATGTATTCCCTGGAAGGGAAAGAGAAAGCGATCTTAAAGCACAGGAGAGAAATAATGAAATCATACACAGAAGCAGGTTGTAAATAAGGAATCTGAAAATCACTCAACAATCACTTCTGGGCCTTTTGGCTAAGATCAAGTGAAAGTATCTCAACACTGTACTACAGGGATCCCTGGGTGGCGCAGTGGTTTGGCGCCTGCCTTTGGCCCAGGGCGCGATCCTGGAGACCCGGGATCAAATCCCACGTCGGGCTCCCAGTGCATGGAGCCTGCTTCTCCCTCTGCCTTGTGTCTCTGCCTCTCTCTCTCTCACTGTGTGCCTATCATAAATAAATAAAAATTTAAAAAAATATTTAAAAATAAAAAAAAAAACACTGTACTACATATGTGAAGTGCCCACCTCAAAGGGTGGAGAGTAAGTTTGTTAATACCTGTAAAGTATCCAGCACATGGTTAATGCTATAAATGTTAGTGTTTATTGTTATAGATTTCTTTCATTTAAAGCACATGATCAATGGCAGCAGTCCAACAATATTGACTGTAATATCTCTTGCTTAAGGAACCTCCTATCCACCTGAAAAATGGGCCTAATATGTACCTACCTCAAGGTTGTTGGTGGAATTAAATAAATGAGTTAATATGTGTAAACACTGGAGGGTGAAGCCTGGGCACTCAGCACATACTCAAGAAATTCACCTATAAGTGTCAAAAAATGCTATTCATACTAGCAGAAATAACATAGACTAGAGAGATCTATACTTTTTTTCTATACTTTTTTTCTCACCTGGAACAGGAATCTAAGCACTTGTAATAATAAATTTGTTAAAAAAAAAAAAAAAAACGGGGTGGCGGCATTTAATGAAAGAGAGACAGCATTGGGAGAGAAAAGGTTTAAAAGGTCTGAAGAGCATGAGCACAGGTCACATAGGTCAGGGAGTGCTTCCTGCCCACCAGGTAAGAAAGAGCTCCCTATGTGGTCTGGAGCAAAAGGTGAGCCTACAGATCAACTCTGGCTCCCAAGATCTTTCCTGGGTTTTAAGTCCAGTGTCAAATCATGTTCCAAATAAACCCCAAATGGATAAAGATTTGTGTTTAATATATATTAAAGTGATAGATGTTCAAAAAAACATAGCCTACAAAGGCAAGAAAAAAAAATCAACTGAGAAAAACACATCTGGTGCTGACAAAAGCTTCCTACTATATGCAAGAGCTCAGAGGACAAACAAAACATGCATACAATGGGATCTTACTCAGTCCCAAAAAGGAAGAATATGCAGATACCAGCTATAACATGGAGGACATCAGGCTGAGAGGCAGAAGCCAGTGACAGAAGGACAAACCCTATGTGATTCCATGTATGTGAGGGCCCTGGAGCGGTCAGATTTCACAGATACGGAGGGTAGCAGGGTGAGGGCCAGGGGCTGGCAGATGGCGACAGGGATGAGTGTTTAATGGGACCATTTCAGTTTGGGACGATGAGAAGTTCTGGATGAGATGGTAATGATGGTTGCACAACAGTGTGAATGTACTTAATGCCCCAAACTGTACATTCCAAAATGGTTACAATGATAAAATTTACAGTGTGTACCTTCTATCACAAAAAAAGAATTCTAAGAAAAAAGTTCATTGGAATCAACTGTGAGAGAAGCAACAGCGATGCTGAAATGCACAAGAGCACAAAACATGATTGGCGACTCATGGGAGGAAATAAAACTAATACATGCATGAAAAAATGTTTGTGGTCCAAGTTCTCAAAAAATGCAAATTAAAAACAAATTGAATCTTTATCACATCAAATAATGAAAAATGGTACCAACCAACACTGACAGGTGCGCACAGTGGCCTCTGTACACTGCAGATAGAGCATGAGATGGTAAGCTGAAGACTCATACGGTATTAATACTTCTAGACCCCAAAATCAAACACAGAGTTAAAGAAAAAAAATGTTCTAAATGTAGAAACTGTATGTGCCAAGATAGTTTCTGGTAAAAATCAAGAAATTGGAAACATAGTAAACATCTACAAAGAGCAGAACCGCTCACCAGACTCAGACACGAAGCCTCCCCTAGACAGATGGAAGCCTTGCAGGGAGGGGGAGAGATGGGGCATGTGCTGCGTGTGCATCATCTGCACATGGGAGCGCAAGGGTTACATGGAAAGATGGCAGGTGTTAAGAATTCCAAGCAGCGTCCCAGAGAGCGCCTCCGAACATTGTCCTGCCCACAATTCTGTAAAGGAAGAAAATCTTGCCACAGCAGGTGAAGCCTGGGGGGGGGGGGGGGAGTTTCAGTGAAACTCCCAAGACAACCTCCTGACTGCTGCTAGATCTACACCCGGGGGAGACGCAACAGAGGCAGGACAGCGCACCGCACAGGAGGACTGTGGGCTCCCCAGGGCAGGTGGCGCTCTCTGCACAGGCAGCATCCAGCCAAGGTTTCAGAAACAGCTAGATTCTTGTTTTGCTACCTTTGCCACCATGCTCACACCTGTGGTCACGTTATCTCCATTCTCCCCACCGCCACACTGACGAAACAGGAAATCACTCATAGATAGGAGGTGGCCACAAGCCCACAGGAAAAGCATTTCCTACACGTCCTTGTGGACAGGGGTGACCAAGTGAGCAAGTTCAGGCCAATAAGAAGCAATAGCTGATAGTGCATGGCTTCTAGGAAAGCTCCTTATAAAGTTAGGACTTGAGGAGTAGACTCCTCCTTACCCTTAACCCCTCCTTCTCTCCTGGAATACAGATGTGATGACTGGAGCTGCAGTAGCCAACTTGTGATCAAGAGGCATCCTTAGAATAGAAGCCATATGCTCAAGATACTGAAGCCCAGAGATGTCCAATAATACCAGAGAACTACCATACCAGCACTGGCCTCCCTACTATTTCTATCAAAGAAAAATAAAACCCCTAACTTGTTTAAATGAATGTTTTTTACACTTCTATTACTTGCTGCCAAACAATTCACCACCTGTGAAGAATTTACACTAAAATCTATGCATTTCCATTTAAGGGAATGTTTATAGTATAATTAGGTTCACCTGGTTCTTGAATCAAATTCAGCATTAAGGGCAACATCCTCAAGGGTTCTGAGAAACATAATCACAAATTCATTTCTTCCTCAATCCTCCATTTCTCCTATGCTTCCTACCAGTAGCTATTCCTTTAAGAGATCAATTTATTTATTTTAAATAGGAACATTTCACAAATTTGCATGTCATCCCTGCACAGGGGCCATGCTAATCTTCTCTGTATCATTACCACATTAGTGTACACTCTGCCAAAGCTAGCACAGATCAATTTAAAATACAACTTTCCCAACATTATGTAGAACAAGATCTAAAATACAAGTATTGTTTTTATTATCTTTAAATACTGAAGCATATGATTAAAACATCACACGAATAAATGTTTTTATCCATAACAATGGTAAAATATAATCTGGTATTTATTTAGAAATGAATAATTAATCAGTACCATAAAAATTAACCCATATTTCTAGATAAAGATAGCAAAATAAACACATGTACCTAATATTGCTCCACTGCCATATGCCTCTATAACGGCAATAAAGAAACCTTTCTAAAAATATAAATCCTCAAGAAAGGGAGAGTGGGAGAGGAAAATACACTGGAATCTGGAAAGCACATGGCCAGTGGTGACTAACTCAGCAAACCCAAGTAAGTCAAGCTCTGCACTGGCTGGTGGCTACTGTACTGGACGAGCAGGTCCAAATCATCCTGAGAACCAGGAAGGAGACTATTATAACAAGTCAGGAGTACCATGTGTGACCATTAATTTTATGTCTCAACTTCACTGGTCTAAGGATGCACAGAGAGCTGGTTTAAACAATATCTCTGGGCGTGCTATGAGGCTGTTTCTGCAGGAGATTAGCATTCAGCCAACTCAGATCTGTCCTCAATAATGTGTATGCAACCAGAATAGAACAAAAAGACAGAAGATGGGTGATTCTCTCTCTCTCCCTCCTCCTTCCCACCTTACCTCTCTCCCCCTGCCTCTCCCTCCCTCTCCCCACCCTCTCAGTTGGGATGTCCATCCTCCCTGCTCTTGGACACTGGAGCTCCTTTTTCTCAGGCTTCTTGAGCAGCATGTGCTGCTTGCTCATTCTTGCTTGATTCATATTCAAAAAATTTGCAAATCTCTTCTGAAGTTATAACTCAATTTCTACTCAAAAGCACTGCAATTCTTTAAAATACACGATTCTATTTTGAACTCTGGGCAACTCAGTATTGAAAAGAGTACAGTTCCCATTTGCTATCTGCTCATTCCACATGACCAATTTGACTTGAGTCTCTGAAACTTCTTGAAAAATATAAGCTGTAATGAGCTCATCCTCACCCTGTATGTTCAGATGTCTGCTCACTGCAGTCAGAAAGAACAATTCTGTGATCTACTGAGGGACCTATAATCTATACCTCTGAGACTCCCTAACACCAAAAACCTCTCATCTGATGTAGCGGTTCAGTAAATGTCTTCAATTAACTTCTGTGACTTGGCCATAAATCTCTATTCTTGCTTTACTTCCCTTTAACTGTCCCATTAACTGATGATTAAGGGTATAAACCTGAAAGAAATTTACCATTCTCACCACTTCCTCAAGCACCTCCTGCAACAAATGGACTTGCAGAATTGAAAGCACAATGAACAGAGTATAATATTTTCTTATCTTCAATTTAATAAACTTGATTTTTTTTTTAACATTCATTACAGATACTCATTTTTGGCAAAAGTTTGCTTTTCCATATGCAAACACCTCCATTTCCTTCCTGGCGAGTGGTTTTTTTTACCTTACTGGCCTATATCTATGCCAGCTAAATCAGAAAAAAATTTCTTTTAGGAAAAACTTCCTGTGTGGCTACGTCCTGGTGGTACATGTTTGCTCCACAGGCCTGCTCTGCCTAGAGTGAGAGGGATGGCTCCTAGCATAGCAAGCCAGGGCAGACAGAAGGAAGCAGCTGGGCACAATGCCTGGCCCTAAAATCCTATCCAACAGGTAGTTATGTGATGTGCAGGAGAAGGAAAAATGCCAAATATGACAGGTGGGAATCTGTGATTTGTTTTGGCTATAAAGACAAAGCCACTCAGACACTGCCAGTTTCCTGGCTCCAATATCTTACATAAACCACTATAGACACAGAGTGTAGAAAATGTACAATGGCCTGTAAAACACAGGACCCATAGTTGGCAATTCCCAGTTGTGAAGGTACAAGCAGAAAAAAGATCAGAGCACTTTCTACTTTCAAGAACTTGCTTTAAAATAGATATTAAATATACGGATTCCACTAACTACCATAATAGCCTTATAGCTACCACATTTTAAGTCTGATGATTCTAAAGAACACTCCATATTTAACATTAGGAAGAATTACGTAATTGGATCTAGGACCATTTGACGACAATATACTTGCATGGAAAAAATCCAAAGCTAAATTACGTATGTTTTAATATGCAGCTTCTGTTACATGCAACTGCTCTTTATATATATTAAAGCAAGTATTATGAACATGTAATTAATTTTAACTTAAAAAGAACATTTCATGGGAGGAAACACATAATGTTGAGTAGAACTAGAAAAGATTCTATAACCAAGAGACATTTCTCATTTCTCTGCAATGTTTTATTTGAACAAGACCAATTAAGTACCGTAATCAGGGCCCATAACTCAGCTCAACTTTATTTTATAGTAAGATTTAAACCCTGAGGCACCTGGCTGGCTCAGTTGGAAGAGCATGAGCCTCTTGATCTCGAAAGTCATGAGTTCAAGCCCCACAGAGTATAGAGATTACTTAAGAATAAACAAATTAAATAAACTAAAAGGGACTCCTAATTCTTATGAAGTGCTTCAACCTCTGAAAGTATATAAACCAAGAGGTGGCACAAGGGGGCTTGGGTGGTCACCCTGGGGGCCTGCAGAAAACCAACACAAGAAGCCCCACTGGAGCCCTAGGGTACCCAGCCTGGGAACCACCCCACTCTGGCCTTCCTGTGCTGAGAGACAATGAGCCCCCTCAGATTTTAGACACTTCTGTTGAGCCTTCTGTTACTTGCCAAAAAAGCACCCAATTCATACAAATAGATTTAACAAGAATTAAAAACTCTCCAGAGAAGCATATCTTGAGTTTAAAATCTAAGATGGCTCAGTGGTTGAGCGTCTGCCTTTGGCTCAGGTCATGATCCCGGGGTCCTTGGATCCAGTCCTGCATGGGGCTCCCTACTCAACGGGAGCCTGCTTCTCCCTCTGCCCCTCTCCCCTGCTCATGCTCGCTCTATCCTTCTCACTCTCTCAAATAATAAAATCTTTAAAAATTTAAAAAAATAAATAAGAATAAAAAATACAATCTAAGTAATCTGAAAAAATAAAATCTAAGTAACATGGAATATTGAGGGATATAGTCCTCTTAGCTGCAGTTACTCACCATTAAAAAGTAATGATCCTCAGGCTCAGCTCGAAGATACTTAAAAATCACTTGTTCCATGAACCTTTCCATAAGATCCCAGTCCTCAATAATTCCATGTCTTATTGGCCACTATGGCAAGAGAGAGCAGAACACGTCAAGCTTGAGCTCACAGCAATAAGAGCAGGAGCCCAACAAGGCTGGCCCAGGACAGGCTGGCCTGGTAGGCAGCACGGCCTGGTGCACAGGCACTGATGCTCATTCGTGGGAAGAAACAAGAAGCACATTAGCAGAAACATTCACCATACTACAGTTGATACTCTACTGTGCCCACCTCTAAGCATGAAGAACCATCTTTACTGTGGGTAACAGATGGAAAAGTGCACACCATCCACTGCGCACTTCAATCTGGAGCTTTTTTTTTTTTTCTAGAACAAATGTCTACTTAATTTTTGTCCTTTTTTTTTTTTTCCCTAAATTAATCAATCTGTAACTTCCCATATCTGACAGGTTAATTAATCAACCTGAAATTTTCCACAGGAGCAGATCTTGCTTTCGCGTGTAACCCAGCACTGCCTGTGTCAGTTCTACCATCCAGAGTTCTGTAAGTTCACTGGATTCCCTGCATCAAAAATACCCCATTCAAAAACAACAAACCTTCTTTTAAAACATAAGAATAAAAAATATAGGGCAGCCTGGGTGGCTCAGCGGTTTAGCGCTGCCTTCAGCCCAGAGTGTGATCCTGGAGACCTGGGATCAAGTCCCACATCAGGCTCCCTACTTGGAGACTGCTTCTCCCTCTGCCTGTGTCTCTGCCTCTCTCTCTCTCTGTGTATCTCTCTCATGAATAAATAAAGTCTTTAAAAAAATAAAAAATAAAAATATACCCATAGCCCATAAAGTACAATTTCTAGATAATCTGCCATTCTGCATTATTCATTCTACTGCTCTGCTCTTGGCTACACAGTTAAAGAAGTAAATTCCTCTGAGGAGCTCACCTTCGTGGCATACGTGGGCTTATCTATGGCCTCATCCCCTATGAAAAAGTCCAGGTCGTCGACTCCCCTCAACACCCTCCTCTGGGCTTGATCAACTACCTTTGCCGACTCTCTGATGGCAATACCTTAAAAAAAAAAAAAAAAAAAAAAGCACAAAGACTTCCATCACTATTCACATTAAAGGATAATATAATCCCCATGTATGTACAAGCACATTTTCAATGTTAGGGTTTTATTGGGGGTGGAGGCAGCTCACAGAAAAGACAATATCAATGAGTACATAAAATACAGGAATGAGTTTTATGTTGCAGTGTTATTTTTAAAATGGTACAAAGGAACTTAGCGGATCTGCCTTTAATCAGACAGAAATGACATCACTAAATCTCTTACTTTCACCTAGAGAAATCCTTCAAGATAGTAAATGAAATGCCCATGGACTGTATTATAGGCTCCAAATTTTAAAACACAATACAGAAGTAGACAAAGTTAAATATATGATAAAAAGAGAAAACTGAAAAATAATACCTATACACTCTCAAGTCATTTTACCAAAATTCTGTATCAGACAGATTTAAAATATGTATTTTTAATCTTATTATAGAAAGATAACTGATTACATTAGGAGGAAAATAGAGATTGGTGGTGAATATCCATTGTGAAAAGTATAATAATCAAACAGCTGTATTAGGTAAACGTATCAATGCTTTTATGATACATTATTGTAATAAGAGGTTAACCTTGACATTTGGGAATATACTTAGTAAATAAACACACAGGACTCCACTCTAGAATTTAACATCTAATGAAATGTGGAAGCTTCACAAAGATTCAATTCTCCATTTAAATTCCTAACCCCTGGGCACCTGGGTGGCTCAAT